ACTGAAATTTTCAATTTGTCTGAAATTTTTTTTTTGAAATATCGATAAAAATTTTTTGGCCATATCAAAATACTTGAAAATTTAATACAGAGTTCCTCATAAGTTATTCCTTTAGTGAATAAAAATTATAAGAATACATAGGCACAATTTTTTTTTATTAGCATTTGAAGTTCAACAAAAATTCGTCAAAACCATGAATATTTTTTTTTGTGTTTGTCATTACGTTTTGGGGCAGTAAAAATGCTTTGACTTTTAACTTCAGTACATTATTAAATCAGAAAGTGAATCTAGTTGATACTTTGGGGGCTCAAAAATAAAAAACTCTTAATATTTTTCTAAATAATCGGGATACACAAACTAAAAATTAACGGAAAAACAGGAAATTTTACGTACAAYCAGTTTTCGAYAAAATCAATTTTGATTTTTTATGTAACTTTAAAACGATGGACCATTGATACATGAAATTTTCACCGAATGTTTATATAAGTRCCTATGTTCTATCCACCATGAAATTTTTAAAAAAATTTGACTTAAATTGAACTTTTCATAGGTATATGCAATTTTTCAATCATTATTAGTTTTTTTTTAAAATTAAAATCGATAAAAATTTATTTTTTAGGTAGAAAATCTTGAAAATTTAATACAAGGCTCTAAAACATATTATTACAATAGCAGTTGAAAAATAAAATAAATAAATATAATTCATAAATTTTTATGAAATCGCGTAATGATAACGATTTATCCTCAAACCAGGTATTCGTATATCTATGATAATATATGATATTATGAATTATGATAACTACATGATAACTACACTAATTGATTAACCATGCCTTATGCAAAATGCGTCTTAATTGAAAAATAAAATATTTGTTTCAAAATAGAATATATGACAATATTTAAATATAATATATCCTAGACTGACAAATCATCTCCGTTCAGAATCGTTTTTCGTATACAATGATACCTATCATTGCATTCAAATTTAATCCCATCCATTACAGTAACCTACTGTACAGCAGAGCGACATCCACGACTTACCCGCTTACTCCCTCGAAATAACTAAGTACCAACTAGATTCACTTTCCTACGAGAAAAAATGCACTGGACATTTCACGTGTGTATCGTGTATGTAAGGTGATGAATAATAATGAAATCACAATAATGAAAAATAAAAAACATATCATAATAAATTTAAAACATTCTTAAACTAAACGATAAACCAATCTATATCCATTATCCATATTACTGTAATTTCCTGTCAAATTTCATAATAACTGCTCTTGGCTGGTTTGGGTAACTGTGATAGAACGAAAAGCTGTGTAGTATAGTTAGCTTAGTAGCATAATGCTTCTTATATAGCGCATTAATGAATGCATTTTTTACATGAAACTAACTAAAAACTCACTCTCGTTGGTAGTTAAATATACAAAAGCAACAATTAACATTATTCAATCGTTATTGATGTTGGTAATATTATTTATGTACATTTTTTAATTTTTTACTGTCTTAATTAAATTATGTAATGTTTTTCCTCCTATGTTTGTCATAAACCTGTCTAGTATGATTGTATAATAATCGATCTGTCATAATAGTTTCTGACGAAAATCAAATAAAAATTAAAAATTAAAACATTATTCAATAGTAATCATATACAACTTTTTTTAAATTTAAATTCCAACTTATCCTTGAAATATTGTATAATATCATCAACCATTATTATTATTGAGTTAAATTGAACACACAATTTTAATCTAAATTTGAGAATTACAATGTTTAATAAATATTTTTATCATAAATCAGTAGAATTTAAAAAATAGTAATTATAGCTTTTTGTAGAGTTTTTCACCACAAAATTTGTAGTGTCAATTTATTGACCAACAAATATTACAGTTCCACGATAATACTATTAAAAATTATGCACACATTAGGTAGGTATATTCTTATGGTACTGTATAATAATTAATCATATTACTTATAAATAAATATCTTATCAATATGAATATATTAAAAAACTCTACATTACTTAGGTAATAAAAAAACACATTTTGAGATTAAATTAAAATGTAAAAACTCAACAGAAAATAAAACGAACAACAATAAGACTGCAGTAGGTAATTACTAATTACTTATACATATATTTATAAGTACCTATGCCTGCAGCTATACAAATAGAAAAAATAAATACATTTTTAATAGTATAGGTGTACTAAATAGTTCATTAAAAATAGTTCAAACATCATTGGACAAAATTGATAGTAATAATATAATGTCTGCTAAATGTTATATTCACATTTAATATTGTTTATTTTGATTCAATGCAAATATCTAATGAATTTATGCCCTGTTACTTATTTTTTACCTTAGCCCATAGGTGGTTAAACAAATTTGGGTGTTTTTATGTTATAGGTACGTCTTAATACTCATATAAATAAAATAAAGATCTACATATGAACAAGTCCTTCAACGTTGTCGGATTTCATCTCATTGGTATTAGTATTAGTATTAGTATTAGCGTTGAGATCATTTGATGCATCTTCCAAATTATTTTGCTGGATTGGTTTAACCGGTGGCACTTGATTTCGGGTCAAATAATAAGTAATGCTAAAATCAAAATAAATATGACTAATGTTATATTTTTCAAATTCGAATAAAAAAAACTTACGCAAAACATCCAATTAACGGAATGGTTAAACATATGCTGATGATGAAAAAGGCACTAGGATTAGATTCCAGTGTTTTGTTGTACACTACATTATATAATGGTAGGATTGCACTTTTCGATAAATTGTCCATAGCCATTCTCACGGCGTTCATTGATCCTATTGCATAGACACAAAAACACATTTAGGTACAACGTCATTATAGAAGTAATAGATAATATTTGCTAAATACATAAGGAATTTGGAATGTGTTATAAATAGTCCTAGGAAATAAAAGCTTATGTGTAACGTTTTTAAACATTGGTTTTTGAGACGTAAGTAGAGATTTCATTAGAAATTAGCTATAAATTGATTACTTACCTAGTTCATGAGGTTCCACGCATTTCGAAGCTATGGCACCACAGAGAGCCAATGCTGCACCACGAAACAGTTCTAACGGAGGTACTGCAAAACAAAAGTAAACAATAATTTACAATGTGATTATTCAATGTTGATAGGCACTAGACATTTAACATTCATAATGACTATAGGTACTATTATAGGTAGGTATAATAAATATTGAATTTATACTAAACAATAATATTAGAAAATCAAGTATCTACTATAACAATACAACTATTTATTTATCATATTTATTATTGATTTTATTATTATTAGTATTATTTAATGTTTAAAGAAAAATATAAATTAACAATTAACTGCACATTACAACAACAACAAAAAAAGTACGGAATATTAAAATAAACATTTACATTATTTTTTATTACATAAAACAAACCGTGTTTGGCGTTTGTTCGTGTATAATATAAAATAATTATAGGTAGTGGATGTAGGCAAGAGACAACATTGACACATAACGTATTTGTTTAAATCCAGCAGACTATAATCGAGTAAATGTGTAAGATTCATTGGTGTGGCGTGTACATATAGTAAATAGCAATAATTAGTATTAATAATTAGTATTCATTATCGTAAGCATATAATATATCAGTAGGTAGAGGTACCTATACGATGGTTTTTATTATACCACTCACTATTTTTCAAACGGAAACTGAAAATCCGTTCCTTCATAACTCAAAATAAAAAAAAAAATAAAAAGATTAAGCTAGTATCATCTATAATATAATATACCCAATAAGTACTTATAATATTGTGTACTTGCATGAATAATTCTACTTGATTATAATCATATTATTATACAGGGTGATTCTTTTATCAAACAACACTCATTATTTCAAAAACTATTGACTTTTTTCAAATTTTTTTTTTTCAAAATTTTAGAACCATCTTGTTCTAGAACTATATATTTTTTAAATATTTTCACCCTTATACTTATCAGGTTAACCATTATCAACTTTTGATTTTCAAATGACAACCTATTATACTTGGTGTGTGTGGTGGGCAGGGGAGAAGTGAGAGACTGCAGTAATTAAAATATGTTTACTTACCAAATAATATGTATTGCAGCTTAGTAACTAATAGGAATCCGACAGCAGTTGCAATATCGAAGAAAGTAGCAATTAGTCCGATCATTGCATCGTTCATTTTAAAGTATCGACTCAAAATTCCAAGGGAAAACAGTGATCCTAAAATGTATTTTACTTGAAATTAAACTTTCCAAAAAAAAAAAATAATAACCTTGAAAATCTTACCAAATAGCATGATTCCCATTGTGTAAGCATTGAATAAACTAAAATCAATTTCTCTGAAGCCAAACTGCTTTCTCAAATACAAATACATCAGACCTATTTCACCTGCGAATAAATATAAAGAAAAATATTGCTTAGATTAATAATAATAAATTTCCTATAAATTAGCCTACAGACTATTATAAACATAACATTGTTATTGTACACATCTTTCCCATATTTTGAGTATAGAAATTCAGGCACCCAAACAGTACCCAACAGCGCAGTTGAAACGCAAAAGCGATAAGCTTTTGCCGATACTCCTAAGGTCGGTTAGGTTACATGTCAATATTTGTGTATCTCACCCACAAAAGGTCCACCGGTCAACGGCGAGGCGACGATCATCAGCAAGAGAATAAATCGCTTGTGGTTGTCCCGCCTGACGAACACAGTCTTGATGCTCTCGACGGCGATATTTGGATCGAACGTGCTCCTGTACAGCGAACCGGTCGTCTTGTATGGTTCGGACGTGTCGTAAATAAAAAGCAGGCCCAGGCACAGGGCGACCGCGTTCAGACCCATGTTCAAGGCGAACACGGAGGCGAACCCTAGTCTCACGTTCAGGTAACCGCCGGACAGCGCGCCCAAAGTGGCGGCCAGCGGCAGCACAGCCGACGCGAACCCGATGCGCATGGTCCGGTTGGACATGTCGGTGATGTCAGCCAGGTACGCGAACATGCCGATGAAGAAGCAGTGTTGCGACCCGGTGACGGACACGATTAGCGACTGCGTGATGCCGGTGACGGTGGGCGACAGGCCCCAGAACACGGTGGACAGCAGGTTGAACGCGTCGCAGGTCATCTGTCCGATCACCGGCACGAACATCAGCGGCCGGCGCCGACGGCCGTGCCGGTCGCTCCACGGGCCAGCGAACATGATGAACACCAGAGAAATCAGTTCCTGGATCATGTGCTTCCACACGTTGATGGACGAAACGCCGTGCTGCGCGCCGTTCTCCAGAAGACAGTCCGGCGACACGCGTAAGTCCGGTGCAGCGGTCGCATTCGGGTTGCATCCTTTATGCAACAGCATGTTCGTGCCCACGTTGTTTGACAGTACGGTGGCCACGAAATACAAGAACAGCATCGGCTCTACCGTCACCGCGCAACGGAACGTTTTGAACGATTTGAGTTTTGGCATGTATATCGTCATGATGACGACGATACTTGAGTACTCTAAAACAAAACGATCGATTTCATAATATGCAATAATGCGTGAACTGCAAACCATGCAGTTTTTTTAATGGCCGCTCAATTATCAAAAGGTTAGGTTAGGTTATTTACTTATTCATATAAATGTAAATACTGCGATGGTTTTTTTTTTTTTTTTGTTATTTCGAAGGATTTGTGGTGAATTAACGCATTAGGTTTTTTGATTAAAAGTAAAAAGTATCTAAAAGTGTCTTTGAAGAAAATAAATTACAATTTTTCTATTCTCAGTAGTAGATGATATCTTAAAAACGTACACTGACAAATATTTTGGATGATTATAAGACATTATAAATTGTAATAGAGTTTTATAATTTCCAAGGTTTCGAGGTACAACATTTACTCAAAAAAGAAGTAAAATCACTATTCTCAGGTGAAGATGTGCGTTGTTCGTAGATAATTAATATTTACCCAAACAGATCTGTACGCAACTATAGTTTATGTACTTTGAATTTATATATGTTTAGTATACATAAATATAATATAATTATGATATGAGAGGTATATACGCACAGACCCATGCAGAAAATAATCATTTGATACGGAAATATAGTGTGAATGTAATTAAACAGAACAAATTTTCGGTAGATGGTGATAATTTGATACGTCGATAATTTTTATATATAGTTAGATTGGTTACTCATATTATCTGTTAGGTACTCATCAATCATCGTAGAATTTGGAATTTCTATCCATGCAGGTAAGATCATTGTAATTATGATAAGTTTTTTTTTTGTTAATTAATATTAATACTTCAGTAACAGGGCAATGGGTTAATTAATAATTATGATTATTTTTAAAATAATAATAATCGTTACATAAATATTAATTATGTCAAGGTTACATGATTCGCTTTACGGTATCTATGTAATACGATGGATGATATATAAAATTTAAAATCGACAAATTTTATCAATCGAGTATAATCACATAACGAGAAAAAAATTTGAATTTAATTTGTGATCAGAATTTTATTTAGTTTCCTATAACTTTAAAAAAAATAGCTTAGTTGCTTACCTGCATAAAGAATACAACTATTGAAATATTCGGAAGCCGAAGCTTCTCTTTATTTTTCTATAACTGCGTAACTATATAGACAATAAAAAAATATATATAAATATGTTTAAGTACCTAATTAGATTTAAAGTAACTTAGATAACAAGATGTATGGATTTGAATGATTATTTATAGGAATGTAAATAATATAATAATATCTATACACTATACGATTGTGTTATACCTACTTATATTAATATGATAAAGCTTAAGATTTTGCATGTTTGAATGGGCTAATCTACGAAACTACTGGAAGATATCATTAAATATATTAATACTAAAAAGTTATATCAAAAGATTTCTCGTGACTCAGAAAGCGTATGTCACTTCTTTCTACTATTATTATAAGACGGATTATATTTCATACGTTTTGGCTGACGCCTGACGAAAATGTTTTTGGGGATAGGCGGTGGAAAATTATCTAGTATAGCCAGTATAGGATACTACATTTTGTTAAGAATTTAATTTTATTAAATTTATTAATTTCTTTTTTTTATTATTATTTTTGTTTCTATGGCATATTGGAAATAAACAAATTGTTATGATAGTCGGCCTAATGAAAATCGATTACAAAAAAAAATCTTAGGTACCAACTTAAAAACATATTATCTATACGTTAAACAATTTATTTAGACTAAACGAACCGCCATGCCATGCGTTGCTATTCAATTTTTTTAAAAAAGAAAATTTATACATTTCATTGTTTGTTATTCAAATTTATAAAAAAAAAAAGGCAATGTAAAACAATGTCCTTATGTTTATGACCTATAAATTCAAAGAATATTTCATGTGGATTTTGATAAAAATTTCTAAGATTATTCTTAAAAACAAAAATAATTTAAGAAAATAGTTAAAACTGTGTTTACCACGAGTGGATTTTATATTTTGGTCCAATTAGTTGACAAAGTGAGATTTTCCGTGAACCGAAGTCTGATGTACACTAAGAACGAGATATATTTAAACTGAGACACACCGATATAGCTCCATATTTTATGTTAGTTCATTTAATATTATAATAGCATGTTCTAATGATATTTCTTTCATATACAATATTTATCTATATTTTTTATGATTACAAAAGTATAAATAGTAATATACTCAACTGGTGTCATTAAGATTTCTGCAATTACGATGTAACTATATCGATAATTTTGTATGCCTTCTTAACATAATCTTTAACTCGCTGATGGTTGTAATTATTTTAGTCACGAATATCATTTTCAATTTACAATCTATCAGGAAAATAGTTTATTGTGAAAACCGTCCATGAAATCACTGTAAAGTAGGTACCTTGTACCCACGTAGATCTATATAGTATCATATTTCACCAAACACATTAATTTTATCGTAACAGTATACCTAATATTATATTTTGTTGGCTAATAAGTAATAATTCCGTAGTTGGTACCTACTTGGTACCACAAAATATTAATATATATTATGTCATCACGAAAAAAAAAATAAAAAACCTGTATTTATCCACATATATTATGGATATCGATTACAGATATTTATTATGGAGGAACTTTTCTGATAATCAAAAACCGTGTTCAAACTTCAAAATAATTAAATTTAAGTATTATGTAACACAGTAACAGCGGATTACTATTATAATACATTAACACAGCAATAGAATGTTAATATAACGAATTATTTATTAAACTGCCTAACAAATTGGGCTGTTATACATAAGGACCTAAATGCTGCAATTAATGTTCCAACAAACTACATAGAAGATTGACGTTTAAAATCCATTTGAACAATTCATTCTGTAGATAATAACACCTTATTTCTATACTTTTTATGATGTAGATAAGCATGATGATATTATACCATATAAAACCATTAATGAGTTTATTGATGATGTGTATACCTATAACCCGTAATTGGCAGTTATTAGTTAATATAATCATGACTTCAAATGTGTATCTACTTAATAAAATGATAAGTTATTATGGTTCAATAATGGTTTTAATTCATTTGATTTTAAATTCTGTGAAAACCTCAAATCATTTGTTTATCCAAACAATACGAAAATATAATAAGTATATCTCCCTAATTATTACATTATACAATGTACAATATACATTAAACATAGGTACTTACTACATGGAATAACATAACATATTATTAAGCGTCATGGGATGTAGACCAGTTGAAAACTTAAGTTTTATACGTTTCATTATACTTCGTGTTATAATTTATTAATATTTCAATATTAATTATTAGTCGAATTATTACAAACAAGTTTTCACAGATATTTTTTGTCATTCTTATTAATAGGAAAATTAACTAATTGATCGACAATCTACCTAATATAATGATTTATCAATCATTGTATTTTTCCAAATCATCTAAAAATTAAAATAGGTATCTACTTAAACTGTTAACGATCGATGGTATAGTTATTGAGATGCATCTACGGTGCATTTAAATAATTTATAAGCCGTTAAGCACCATACTAAAATATCAATCGTTATAAATGTACGGATAAGCCTTGAATACTTTATACAATATAGTAATTATGTAGTCTGTCAATGGAATTTAAACGATAAAATAAACACAGTTTAATTATAATATGGTACATATTTTTTAATTAAATCCTTCAATTCTATACATTTGAAAACTAAGCATAGGTAAGCTAAAGCAAATTATGTATTTTATTTTTTTATATATGCATCGGAAAATTATAACTTATGAACATACAATGTTATTCCGTTATTATTACAACAGTAATTAATAATTATTAACATCATTTATATTGATTAAGTGTATACAATCAGTATTTTAAATAAATAAATTTGAAAACTTGTTTGTTACATAACATAGTGCGGTAAAATAAAATAAAAATTCGAAGAAGTATTTATAATATTTAGAGATAAAAAAATAAGTACCCAACAGACAACAGGATGAATAATGAACATCATCACTTTAAATAAAATATATTATAATGCATTATTAAAATATCTAGACTATAAGATGAGTCATACTTTGAGTCAACCCAACGAAATTAATTTTGATTGGAGATAATATTATATGCATTATTACTATATATATATGTAAATAATAACACGAGTAATCTTTCGGCTAAAATATAAAATTTATCATAATTTGTCTCATAAAACGTATCCACAAATCATGGTTAGTTAAAATATTTAAGCTATAGGTTCTTACTACCAATCTTAATATTTTGTATCGTATATATTTAAATTAATATGTTATTGACTATTGTATACCTACTAAGTTATTCATTAGTAACACTAAACAACTTTTTATTTGTTGTTGTACTTGAAACCTGATGAATGATGATGTAAATAAATAATAGTGAAAAAATATGGCAAATATGTTCATCTCGTATAATATGACATTATTGACATAGTCAGGACGATGCATAAATTACAACTATAATAGACTTTTTTCTTAAAACGGAAAATCCTTAATCGTGACTTATATCACAGTTAAAAATGTTACAGAATAGAAGGAAATATGATAAAGTTTGTTCAAATGGAACGTACACATCGCAATAATATACATATTTGAATAAGGTTTAATTTGATTAAGTTATCGGCTACCTATAATATTAAACAATACAGGAAAATAAATAAAATTGTCTAAAAATAATTAAAAAAATGTATTATACAAATATTAAATCCTAACAGTTGATTAAATTTATGTTAATTATCTTAATCGAATACCTATTGTTTAMGTAATACAAATGTATTGAAGGCAATTAAATGTGAATTACCACCACTAACTTGGAAAAATTGTGGTAATTGTTGTAAATAACTGTTTTGAAACTTAAAAATGAATGAGTTTAGTCGTTTACTATAAGTGTGTTTAAAATACAGCTAGTACCTATTATAGTCCATTTAAATAGTTAAAAAATTTAGAATTTGATTATATTATGCTTATATTTATTCTATTAGTATGTAGATATATACAATAAAATTTGTAATCATCAAATTTTGTTTTGAAAAATAATATTATTATGTTAGTTCAACAAGAAAAAAGTAATATTTTAAACAGTGATAATATGCTTGGATTTAGAAAATTCGTATGGAAATTGCGTCTAATTTAATGGAAACAACAATTATTCATCATTTTAAAATAAATTATTATTGTATAACTTAGTAGTTAAAATTGTCATAGTCGATACATATCCTATTATAATATTAATAGTGTCTGTATTATCTTAATCTATGCTCTATATCTACGTACAATGTATAGTTATGCATTATGTGTGGGTAAATATCCATAAAACCTATGGATCATGATTCATGGACGGTGTATTATAGTGTCCTAAATAAAAGAGCTCTCGAAACATTCACTCTAGCGTTTCGCGTGAATGCTGACTGTCATACGTTGGCCAATGGATTACAATACAACATTATTTATATAAAGGTAAATACCTAGATTCCTATATTAGTTATACAGTCGAGTCTCGATGACACGAATCTCAATGGGAATAAAAGTAAATTCGACTTTTGTATTTTTTAGAGTTATTTACCTCAAACACAAAATAAGTTTATCTTTACTATATTTTATTCGGGTTAAGGAGATTCGACTGATATATTATTATACGGATCGACGTGCCTATTGTTATTTGTATTGCTCAATATGTATCATGGAAACATATGTGTTGCATATTATTTAACGTATTTATTACTCATATAAAGTGTTGTGAAAAAAAAATTACATGAATTATATGCTGTACAAAAAATCATAGTAAGATTTTCATTTTTACGTACGATTTACGAAGCGTTATTTGTGTTGAGGTGCGTGATGTCGACTCTTATACGGTCCAGAGACAACTGCAAATGTAGGATTCGGTTAACYGCGGGGACGATAATGATGTATTACCTAAACATGTGATGCTTAAATCTTAAACTCGGTTTTTGGTCACTGATTCATTGACGTAGGTCAGGTATATAATCCGAAATCCGCTGTGTCGGCTACGATGATGTGGATACAAAATAGTGTAATCGTTCAGATGACATGATCGCGACCGCACTCTGCTTCACGCACAGAAACTCAAACACAGAACTCTCCCGCAAACACGCGCGCGCGGACGATCGCGGATGATATAATATGACGTGTGGACGGACCAGCGGACGAGGATCGACTTCGCTGCGATCGCACGCCAGCCGATCGACGGCGGCCGGGTTGCATACTATTTTGTAATGCACCTAGACCACACGTATCATTATTTTCTCGTAGGTACCCAATATATTTAACGCATAATTAACTTGATTAGTCTACCTTTTCTTTTTTTCTAAATGCATATGCGCGACGACTCGGCACACGCACCATGCATGGACTTGCTGCAAGAGTACATATTATATTATATAGTCTCACGTCATTGTCATATTATGTTAACTCCGACGACTCAGTGTACAGGTACACTCCTATAATCTCGTTCCCACGGGAGATTTTCGTGTTTTCAAATCCAAAAATATGTTCATGTCCACACGATTTTAGAGTATTCAGGTATAGGCCATGCTATAACATAACACCATTAACAATACCATAACACTCCGAGAAACAGCATGTTCAAACGATTTTGTTATAGTAGTGATAATTTTTGATTTTTTTTTATATAATATACACCATATACGCTTATACCTGTTCAAATGGCGACGGATTTTGGTTTTCTCGTATAAGTATTTGCAGTTTGGACGTAACGCGTTATACAGAATATACCACGCAATGGTGGATAACTCAAATTAGTTACCATCGATATAATTGGTTGATAAACGTTTATGATGTACACATATAATATTTGTTTCTACTCAAAGACTTTTTTGCACGTGTCTAAACGAAGCTAACAAATAATTTTTTTTTAAATAACGATGAAGTAACTTTGTTGTGCAGTAAGTTTTGAGTGTGCTTCGTTATTGATTAGTAGAATAGATTACGGGAACGGTTGTGTTACATACATTTTTTTTTCAAAAACACCTCGAGTTATTTTATGATATGAATGCAAAAATACAAAAAACAATTTTAAGCAAATACGGCTCCTTTTCTAATGATATTCATTTAAATCGCCAAAATTAATACAATGAGTAAAACACATTAAAAAAATTTCATATAATATATTGCATTATAAATTTATAACATATATAAGTTATAAATCAATACCATATAATAGTACAAACTAGAAATAGGTTCTAGATATACGTAACTTAAAACTAGTGTTAGTATTTTGAACATTTAATCATCTATAAAAAATAATATAAATAAATAGTCGCTAAAATTTATATTCTTTGAATCACAACCGAATAATTGGAATTCGATTTAGTCAAAACCGTAATTTTTCGTTTAAATATTCAATATATAGCTATAGAGTCTATGCCTTTTTCGGAGATGATCTAGTTATAATAATAAGTGGTGTCAACAATTTTCCTCAAGTATAAAAAATCACCAATATTGTTTCTGATTATAATATGTGTACATTGTAAACTATGTTTAAGATTTTGAGAACATGTTGTTTATAACTATGTACAATATTGTAATAAATAATAATCGATAATATTGCAAATAATTCCTGTGAACAGATATGACGATATGAGATAGGTATAGGTATTTATACCAATAGAGGAGGTCAATAGAGGAATAATTCTGAGTATAATAATATGCATTTTATTACATAGGTATATCAGAGGATATATTTTATTCCACACAAGTATGCAACTGATGCTTCACACGAGATACTTGTTCACCGTTAAATTTATCTCCGATCGTGCTTATACTGGGAATCTTAATATTATAATATTTTATAATTTATGATGCACACTGATAATGCTGTGAAATGCGAAACGTTATATTTTGCTAAACATGGCCTTCAGAAGTTCAGAATATTTATTTATATTGTTATAAATAATAATACACAATAATAATAATATTACTCAATATTGTTTTATTTCGTAAACTATACGGCTTAACTCTATAATGTGCATTATAAAAACATAACTGTCATAACTCCTATTATAATATCGAGTACTTGCGAGTTTGCGACGATGCACGATAATAAACATAAGTTTCCAACGTTTCCGTCATAATTATAATAACATTGGTGATATGCGAATACCAATAATATTATTATTGCACAATATATTGTAAGTATAAAAAGGTATAATATTATTCAACGACGTTATTAAAATCAAGTTTGATATTATACCGGTGCAGGCTGGATATTGCATAATTAAGTATTCTATTCACGTGAAGAGAGCAAGACGTGCATGAGTAACAGAATCCTGTAGTATACACATATATACCAAAAGCGTAGGTATCTGAATCTTGTCCAAGACGGATTATATTTTTTATTTGTTGAACCTAACTTTTTACGGAAAGCAGTTTTATTACATTTTTTATATAATTAAATGGTTATGTTTCACGATTTTATAAAAAAAACATAGAAAAATAACTACAACTATTTAACTTCCAAGGGTCGAGTGTCATCTATCCATCAAATTCTTTACAGTACAATATTATTATAGTTACAGGCTATATATAGTTGAACGCATTCTAACTATTTTCATCTATAATCTACTCGTTTATCGTGGTATAATAATTTACATAAAGCTATAATCACATTTATTGTTCACGTTATTATTTGTATTATGTCGCACATTATGTAGATACTTTTTCGCTTACAACTATGCAATATATATATACATGTATAAATATGCCACACGCCCACTCGCACTCTTAACTCAACAAGTACGTGAATATATACTATATTGTACTATACAATACGTATTTATAAAACACACACACACAGGCATGTTCAAAAATCATAAACGAAGAATAGGAAGTTGGTCGTACCTCGTAATCGTCGACCGTAACGAATTATTCAATTTATTTGTATGTAAATCAACGGTATAGTACACACGGACATATGGCTGTACATTCGCTGCATCCTTATTTATATTATTATACGTTGAAAGCGTCACACATCATTCACGTGAGCATGCACTCCACTAAAAAACAAAACATCAATAATCGTTATTTTGACCCGTAAAATTACATTGATAATTCTGTCGATAATGTTTGCATATGTCCTAAACACTTCAATAAGGGAATCAAGAAAGCGAATAGCGTACAGAAGCACTACGGTTCAATATATATAATATTGTTGAGTGTTAACACCATGTACACATATATATACATAATACATAATATATAGATGCAAGCCGATTAATAAGAGACTAAGAGCTTTGCACAAGACCTATTTTTCATGAATGTGAATATTTTATTATTATATTATATTATATAATGTGAATCAAAATTATGTTTATTTTGCTTTCAAAGTCATAATAGCAATGAGCCCGTGTTTCGTACTTCTCGTACTATGTCACTTGTTGACCCTTGTTTAATGTTGATTGTATACCTACGTTATGTAAAATACTAAAATACTACTTGAATTTTATACAATAAATATGAAGTGTATAGATAATCGAGAGTTTTAACAAGTAAAATCATTAGAATAATAAATTATCTAAAATCAAAAACGAACGCGAAAGCTGCAATTCTCATTTCTCCGTGATTTACCTTTTGATAGAGAATGCAATTACGCACACATAAAAGACGTGTTGAGAGCAATAACCTTCGGATACAAACATACACGACCAATGTGATAGTTAAATAATAAATTAAAATCACAGTATACGCTTGCAGCCTCTATATTAAGTTGTATCATAAAATTATGTTACATTATGGTCCTAACTCACTTATAAGATAATAATTAAAATATATAAAATATAATACCGACAAAACTATCTTTGATGTACTATATGATAATATGATGGTAATCAAAATTAAAATAGGTATTATTTAAAAGATATTATAATATTATAAAAAAAATAATAGTATATGTTAAAAAATGTTGTAATATGATTAATCTTGACTCTATTGAGTCAGATATTCACAGGGCACCCACCATCTATAGCCATATATGTAAATTTTTTTTTTTAATATTTAAGCTTCGGCAACATTGGCCATCAGCTTTTGAGATACAATATATTATACAGAGTGATTATTTTATCAAACACTCATTATTTAAAAAAGTATTGACTTTTTTCAAAATATTTTTTTACATAGTTTCAAGTTATTAAAAAACCAACGCTTTTGTTAAAAAATTATATTTTTAAATAATTTTTATCTTTATCATTTTTTAAGTTTTTTAATTTTTTGAATGGCAACATAGTTTTTTAATTTCATATTCCAAAGTAGAATATTTTTCTAAAAATTTTGATACATAAAAATCAAATTTAGGACGAGTAGTTTATGAGTTATAAGTATTTAAAGTTTGGCTAAGTGGCGGAGTAGTGGACAAACATTTTGCGGGGTAACCCCGTACCACTCCACTCCGCCAATCTAAACTTTAAATACCTATAACTCATAAACTACCTGCGCTAAATTCGAATTTTTAACGTAATAATTAATAAAAAAATAGCTTTATTAATTTATGAAATTTTAAGTATAGGTTACCATTTGAAAATCAAAAGTTGATAGTGGTAGGTATATCTAATGAATATAAGGGTGAAAAATATAAAAAAAATAAAAAATTCAAGAAGAGTGTAAATCTACAATTTTGGAAAAAAAAATTTGAAAAAAGTCAATACTTTTTTAAATAATGAGTGTTGTTTGATAAAAGAATCATCCTGTATACTATACACATGTTTTAAAATTATTACTCGCTTAATTCTATTTAATTATGATATGCTTTTTTCTAATTTTAATGCCTTGAGGAATGCTATGATGTTTTCTGGTTGACAGTCAGGACCGATAATCTCGTTAGTAATAGCATAAATGTTTGTAAGACAATCAAACGCTCAGGAAGATTTCGTCATATAGAGTGAAACCTCTTAATACCGGACACTCTCGGTCACCGTAATTTTTTATTTAGAGGTGTCCGCTATATTCACTAGTGTGTGTGGGTTTAGGGGGGGGGGGTAAATTCTTGAAAATAACTCGGAGAAAATAATAATTACATATTTACAACATATTTTATTACTTATACCTATAATATTTATAATCAATGATATTTCTATATTTCTATTATTTTAATGCAAATATTAATTTTACATATTATTATTTAAAATTATATGAAAAATTCAGTTACAATTTAAC